TTTGAAACTTAAAGTTTGAATTGTGAATGGATGGTAGGTATTGATTAGCTTTGGATTTTGTAGTGTGAAAAAAGAAGAGGGTGATGGGAAAAAGACAGAGCCATTGCCTAGTGGTGTTCAAGGTCTTGGAATGGGATTACCAGATATGTCAAGTAAGAAGAAAGGAAAGCACAAGGTTGCTAAAGAAGACCATGTTACAGAGGCTCTTGGTAAACTCAGGGAACAAACCAGAGAAACTGTCAAAGGACTTGACTCCTTGTCATCCAAGAAGCAACCTACGGGTCCTGATGATGCAATGGTCGAAGATTGGATCAAGCAATTCGAGGATCTTACTAGCTCTCAGGTATAAATACACAAACTGAGTTGTTACTTCTTGTTTTGCTTATCTAGTTTAGTGTTGTTATTAACTTCTTCTAATGCTTTGATTAGATTTTGGTTGATATTCTCTCTTGGGATAAAGATTTTGGTTTAATCTCTACTAATTTGGCTTCTGTGGTGGATTTGGTTTTCTCAGAGTATCTTTGGTTACTGGTTATGTTTTTCTTTTGTGTTTCAAGGTTTATTAGGTTCCTGCTTTGGTTCTCTTTTTTCGTAGTTTCGCCATTAGGATTGGTTCGTTCTGCTTGCCATTACTGGTTTTTGACAGTTAGATTTGAGAATCTTTCATTAATCTTCATCAAGTGGTTATTGCTTGGTCTTATTGGTTCAAATTATATGTGAGCTGATATGCCATTAATTGTATGGGTTGCTTCTGATTGTCATCCCAAACCATTGACCTGAGCTAAGCTGAGATGCAAAGGTTGGTTTTTTACATGCTTCACGGTGTTCCCTGTTAGTATGAAAACATAGCTTTTGATAAACCTCACTCGAATATTACAAGTAGTTTGCAGAACCGCTTAGGAGACTTCTGGATCAAGAGAATTTTGTTGTTATGATTTATTTAATTTCATATCTTCCATGTTTGGGTGTAGGACTTGGAGTCAATAGTTGACACGATGATGCAACAGCTATTATCGAAGGATATTCTTCACGAACCAATGAAAGAGATTGGCGCAAGATACCCGAAATGGCTAGAAGAGCATGAAACCAGTTTAAACAAAGAAGAATACAAACGTTATTCGCGTCAATATGAACTAATCAAAGAACTCAACTTGGTGTATGAGAACGAACCAAATAATTCGACCAAGATAATGGAGATTATGCAGAAGATGCAAGAGTGTGGACAACCACCGAGTGATATAGTGCAAGAGATGGATCCTGGCTTTGACTTTGCAAGTCTAGGACAAATGTAAGTCTTTTTTTTCTCATTAGAACCACTGTGATCTTCAAAGACCAATGGGACTGAGTTTGTTTTTGTATATATATGTAAACAGGTCTCCAGAGATGCTTGAGTCTTCACCAAATTGTTGTGTAATGTGAGGGAAGTAACAGGAACAGGTTTTGGAACTATTGATGATGTCTTTTATACTTTCTTTTTGTGCATTGTACAATGCAAAGCTTGACTTAGTCTTTTTACTTAATACTTTAGTTATCATTCTCTATTGAGGTTTTATTACGACAGTCAAGGATTCATGTCGGTTCACATTTTGGAAGCCGAATTGCGTGCATTTTCTATGATGTTTATCAGTTTATGGAAACGTATTGCATCATTGGAACACTTCTTACAAGGAGGCGCTTTATTTCGCTTCTTAATCCTAATTTGATCGCACTTTGATTCGACAAGAACGTATATCAGCAACAACAAGAAGAAGAAAGTCAATCATATATCTTTGTTGAGTAAAAGTTGCATCTCTTACAAGGCTGAGTATATATAGCACACTCATAAAGTGAAGTGCACGATCTAATTTAATCACATGATCTTAGTTTACGCTTGTGCTATAGGAACCAAATAATTTAGGAATTTAATCACATGATAGTAATTATGAATCTACGGTTGCAACGATTTAGAAAATGAATGGGAATTAAATGTAATTCTTGTCCAGTTCGATTTGATCCGACCTACTACTGGTGATGTGATTCCCATCCAAAATATATACAGAAAACATGTATAAACAAAATATCTTTGCTCAAATTATAAGAACCAAAAAAATTAGGAGTTTAACCAAATATTTTGATTATAAGAGCCACAACAACGGTTCCGAAGTTCTTGGAGTAGAAAATATAAAACCTGCAAAAATGTAACATAACATTGTCTTTCAAGAAGACATGATTCATCACCTAACCTCCCAAGCAACAAAAACATGATGTGTATGTCTTTACTCTGAATTTGACTTCAGCTTGTCAACCATTTTCTTTGAAGAAAATAAAAGGCTGTTCCTTGGGTTTTTGAATCGTGAGATTACCAGCTTTGTCTCTAACAGCCTACAACAACAGAGAAGGATGAAATATAAGATGAAGCTAAACGGCTAAAACGCAACTCTTCCTGATCCACATTTCTTGAATAAAAGAAGAAACGAAAAAGGAAAACACATGGGGCTTCCTTTACCTCACCAACAAAAGTCAAGTATGTACCAATATCAAGACACTCCGACCGACTACCTAAAAGAAAAAACATCACATTGTTGGTTTAAACCAAACGGAAAAGAGGTGTTCTAGCTAGGGGAAAACAAAGAAAGAGATAAATAGAATTTCTTACAAGGAGTGGATTAATATAAGTACTTCTTCAACTTCAGAAAAAAATAGAAAATTGTAATTGTCAACACATATATACACTACAAGAAAGCATGTCAAATTTTGACCACTTTTTTTTTGTGGTCAAAAATTATTTTGAACTTTTTTCGACCAATTTTCGTGATATTTATTTTCGTTGTAAATTAGTCAAAAAATTATGACGAAATATAATAGTCGAAATTTGACCTTTTTGATGAAATAGTGATTTTCGACCATTGATTCGTGACATACATGATTTGGTAAGATTTTCATCAAAAACACCTGTTTCTGACCAATTATTGATCAATTTCGTGGTTAAATTTTTTTTTTTCTTGTAGTGATAAAATACAGTCA